GTGGTGTAACATCAGAAAAGGAAGCATCATTAGTCAGCTAAGAATCAATTACCAAAGTTTGAACCTGCTTAACAAAATTGATTCAACTCACTGCCAATTGATTGATACCAAAGTGAAAAACATTATTCTTTGGAACCTTTGACCCAAAAATAAAATAAAATAATTCTTTGGAATCAAAAAGGAAACAGCTGCTAAGACCATAATCATGAAAGGGGTGGTGGCAAAGGGTTCAAAAGAGCTGCTAAGAACATCAAGAAGCTATCTAAGAGATGGCATTGTTCCACCAGAGAACCCCTTGGTCACCTATGTAAGTGGGCAAGCAAAAGCTGATGAGATTGCCAATGCTCTGAAGCAGGTCTCTAAATCTGCTGCTGGAATGTGAGTTGTGGTTTATGTATTGTCTTGTATAGTGAGAAGTAGTATCACATAGTATACCTCATGCATTCTCCCATTTTCACAATGGGCTATTGTTGTTAGTATGATTAATATCCAATGTTTGTCCATTATGATGCTCATAGCACAATGATTAATATCCGATGTCTCTCTGTACATGTATTTCTCTTCCGTTGTTTCTCAATAGACACCCCGAAATTGCACTTCCATTAAAATGTGAGATACGTCATATGTTTACCCTTGTGTTTTGCATAGGTTGCTCTAAATTTTAGCTGAGTTCACTTGTGGCAGTTCATGGGTTGATTTTAAACATTTTGGCTTTTCAAATTAGGCTCCTCGGGTTTTTTGGATTTTGATAAGCCGCATGAGAGAAAATCTGCAGAAGTTAACAATTCATTTAAAATAATATTTATTTCTAATAATTGTGATAAAAGTCAAGTCAAACAATTCATTGAAGACAAGGGTGTAGAAAATGCCCCAAAAATCCAAGAACAAACAAAGTTCAACAAAGAAAGATCAATACACCAAATATCGCCCAGTAAGAGACAGGTCTTAGGACTTCATTAGGAAGAGCTTTCTCCATGATAAATGCCCGGTAAAGTGTTTTCCGATTATGCTGCACCATACGAAGTTTCCCTGTGATGCAAACTCATAAGAATACAACTCCAGTATAGTGATGACAAGAAAATATTCGGTGTAATGAAAGGGATTAGAGCTTACCAATTTGTGCAAATTAAAATTTCATGAGACAAAAACATGCATGGCAGTGGCACTCATAGCGCATTCATGAATTTCTTCTTGAATGCTGACTCTGCCTGGTCAAATATTAAACCTAGAACAAGTTAGCAAGAACTGCGCAGAACAACCTTCCACCAAAATAGACTTCTGTGGATTCCTGATACAATATCCAACTAAAAATGAATCTGTTGTCCCTTACTTTTTAGCACTATGAAGACAGACACCCGCAGGGAGAGTGAAGAAGAGCAACATTCCATTTGATTCTCATTCATATTTGTTGAAGTCACCCAAGCCAAAGGATTAGTACTGTTTGCACTATCGTCCTTGCTGGGAAAGGAGAGGATTATTAAAACCTGAAACAGGAAAGCATAGATTCTGTAATGACACCAAAAAACTGAACACACACACACACACATATATATATTCAACTAAAAAGTCAGTGAGGAAATTGTTGCTAAGGACACTTGAGTCTTGGAAATATGAGAAAACCTTTGCCACTAGGGCAGCTCTCCTCAGTACATCTTTTCGTTTTGGGGACAATTTCGGAGCTTCCACTGCAGGTAGATACTTCAGATTCTCACATATACAAATTGATAATTCATCGACTGCTGCAAGGTTCCTTCATCACTCGAGTAGATCCTCCAGTTCATCAAATTGTCATAAACAACTTCTAAGGACTGTTTACACTTCAAATCGATGCTAGCCCCAAATCTGCAAAACAGTATCATCAAATCCTGAAGAGACATGATTGTGTGTAGGTTATCTCATAAATAAGAATATAACTCTATTTACATTACGTGTCAAGGAAAAAAACTAAAAGTATAGTAGCTTACCATATTGTCCAAAACAATAAGTTCTAGATCACAAGCACATCGCATGCATGAGTTTCTTCTTCAATCTCGACTCTGCCTGGTCAACATAACACCAAGATAAACTTAGCAAGAAATGTTCAAAATTACCTTGAACCTTTAAAATGATGGTAAACAGCTTATAACTGAAGACTCCTTTACCTGATTCTTGCAACAGCATAAGTAAAAATGACATGCTATCAAATAACAGAGGACCTTAACTGTAGAAAAGGGAAAAAGGAAAATAAATCAACACCTTCCAGAAATAGTGATTTGCTTAACTACATGTATCATGATTATTATTTTAGTGTACTATAAGATACTCAAGGTAAAATAGTTAATCACCATCGACAACTGATATGCCGTATAAAGCTGAAACCTGCATTATGGGCTGCATTATGCCATGTATCTCCTTGCCTGGAAAAGAGAGAAAAATTAAAATATTAAACAGAGGATTACAGATGTTGCAATGACACCATGGCCACATAAACACCAGCAACAAAAACAAGGCCATTTTGTGAAACTAAACAAGGCCATTTTGTGAAACTAAGGACTAAAAGCTTCTGTTTGCAGATCCCAAAAATTGGAACAAAATCATGCAAGAGTTGAACTGGTCTTGCCTGTTCTCTATGTATTAGTTTGTCTTCCAGACTAACAAACCTAATTTTCCTCAACAATTTTAAGTGTTATTCCACAAAGATTGTGAAAACACAATGTTGTATTTATAGTTCCTTCAACAAAGCAATTAAAACCAAACAAACTACTGATGAGTTGAATATCATCTGTAACATCCGGTCCGAAAAAGAAATAAAATAATTAAATTAGGAGGAAATAAATTTGAATGAGAAAATAAGTTGAAATAAACAATAAAAATAAAGTGATTTGAATTAATTAAGGGTTTTGAAAATAATAAATATTTACGTAATTTTAAAAAGGGGTAAAAAGGTCATTTTAAGTTTGCGAAGGAATTTGGGACTTCCGGTTATACCGTTGCATAGAGCATGTTGAAACGAGTCCGTAGACACGTACCGGGCTCGAATCCGAGTTATAACAAGAGAGATACGAGCAAAAATTGAAGGGGGCAAAAATTGTAATTTTTGCAAAACTGGTTTTAAAACCAGATTTCTCTCTCTCTCTCCCATGCGAACCCCCCCCCCTCCCCTGTTACAGCAGCGACGGTTCTACCGTCGCCACCACCACCACCGGCCTCCACTCCGGCCGGGATCGGACCCAAAACGACCGGCACATCCCCGTCGTCGAACCCCAGCCCTCCTCCGCCGTCGCCAGCAGCTCCAGTCGCCGGAAAATGCTCGGAATCGCGCCGGTTTTGACAGAAAATTCCAAGCACTCGTTCTCCTTCAATTCTCCACCAAATCAGTCGAGTGAGGTATGGATTCTCGACTATTTTTCGAGCTCTAGCTGCTGGTTGGGTAGGATTTCATAAATTTTGAGCGCTGTTAGTCCGATTTTCGAGTTGAAAAATCTGCCAGTTTCGACTTCCGATTCCGGCCACTTCCGGCAACTTTTTGGCCATAGCCCAAGAACAAAAGTGACTCCAAATTAGGTGTATTACCTAGGGTAGGAGTTTGGAGCCGTGATTTTGAGATTTTCCGGCGATGCGATATTGCTTTGGACACCCACGCGCTGCCAGCGCGTGTGGCAGCGCTTGGGAACTGTATCAGAGGGGCATTTTGTCCCAATGCGATTCCCTGGTTGTCACGAGCGCGTAGGATTTTACAGATCTCAATTTGGATAACGTTTGAACCCCGAACGGATTTTACATATTGTGTGAATTCCGGGTTCGATATGTTAGAACCGTTGGATCGCTTCCCAATTAATATATGTTGATTTAGGCATTCCTAGGATCGTGTAGGAATTCGCGGATCGTGAATTGGAGCCTCGGATGTTCCGATTCAATAACTCAAAGCTTGCGTTTTACGATAACCGTTCGATTGTGCGATCGCGAGCGATCTGACCGTCCGATCTGAACCAAACTTGCAGGACGTGCATCCTAGACATTGTGGAACCTAGAGGAACTTCCGGATCGTAAAACGGAGGTCGTGGGCCCCATGGGCCCGGTTGACCAAGTTTGGGCAGTTTGACCCTCGGTTGACCGTGAGTCTTCCGAGGTAGTTTCACTATTCAAGGAGTACTAGAACGACCCTTTTGGACGAGTCTTGACCGTCATTTGATTTATGTGGGTCTATGAGATTATTTTTAGGATTTTGTGATGGAAAGTTTATGCATATTGTTTTAATGGTTTGTTATGAGATTTATATTTATATTTTATAAGTAGATTGTTAATCTGTGAGTAATCCTGCTATTGTTAATATTCGAGTTTCTTGAGGTTTTATATAATATTTGAGAAAGTACTATCCTTGTTGATTTTGTGTGGGGTACTTAGAATGTTAATTTGAATGCTATTAGCACTACCTTAGGTACCTCCCCGGTTATGG